AATGTAATAGGAAGGATCCGTTGTGGGCTTAATGTTTTATAGACGCGATAGACAAAGTTAATTTTATTATTGACACGGTCTCTTGCATCTCGAACGAATCGGGTCACCACGTCAGTCCTTGATTTTTTCAAATCTTTGAAATTAGATCAGCGATCCATGCATGTCGAACGGCTGTTCTTGCGAAAGTTTAAACTTCACGTAAACAGATCTGTGATGAATGTCAAGTGCATGTCTAGATGCACACCTCACGTGTTAGAGGTGCTTCAAAAACGAAACAAATGTGTGGATGTAACTACATCAAATGTACGATCAAGAGGAACATAATGATAACAAAACAACTTAGATAGCATAACAAGAAGAGAAAGATTGGGATTCAACCTGTTGATTTATGCTCTAATACCGCACGCTAGAAAATCATTTTCCGGCCATAAGTTTAACTATAAGGAAATGAGCTTATTATACATGGTCAAGCACATATCTTACCTGGAAGTGCCTAGGTATCATCATTATATTATTTCTCTAGCAAGATATAGTCCAAGAAGCTTATTTTAAATCAAGGAAATTAGATCAAATTAGATCAAGGATTGAGGAAATATTTGCTGATTCTACTTCTCAGTGTCACCATTTTCATGCACCAGCATTTGAGTTACCAATTGGTTGAAAGTTGCACAAGGTATTCAAGTAAGGTCCCAACATAACCATTTCGATGCTGTAGCCTACCTTGACTTGGGAAAATAGGTCTGGTTTTACAATGGTTCCATCATTTACAAATAATTCGGATACCGGTCGGACCTTGGATAGAATTTTACTTTTGGGAGTTTGTTTTGAATCGCAACAGTTGATCAATCAAGTCCCGATTCTACCCTATCAGGTTCGGTCCTAGCTCCTAGGTTATTCCATTACTTTAATTCGGAGTTTCTAGTCGCTTCGTCCAGATGAATCTTAGTGATGGAATAATTAAGTCATGATTCATTGGATGATTGAATCATTAATTTTTTCTTTGACGAACTTATCGTGAACTCACTGATTTCTGCCACTTTTGTTATTATTGTTGGGTTAATTGTCGGGCTTGCTTCTATCGGAGTTGGAGTTGGTCAAGTTACTGGGCTGCGGACAGCTCAAGGCAAAGGGACAAATGCGAGGTACTTTATTGCTTAGTCTGGCTTTTATGGAAGTGTTAATAATTTAAGGGTTGGTTGTAGCCTTAGCGCTTTTATTTGTGAATCCCTTTGTGTGTAATCCGATAAATATAAAAAGATACATATTTTTTTTCTTAATTTTTTTAAGGCCGAGGCTTGCTCCTTGCTACTTCCAATTATATCAATATTCGACCCCTACAATTACTTATTCGTTGGGACACTAAATTCTTAGGGAAGACGGATTTGAGGATGAGGAGCTAGTGCTTCTTCCTTCCCACTATACTTATAGGTTGACTTTGTTAGATTTGATATGGTTCTGGTTGAGTTGTTTACTTCTCTAAATAGTAATGGAAACTCCCATATCAAGAACCTGGTTGAGTTTGTCTCTATGATGAATGTAAATGCCAATATTCACATTGCCATTCTTCATGTTCCTAGAGAAATATACATTGTGAATTCAATGGACATTGTGCACTGCTTTTCTCTGTCAGGGTTAGTCCATGTTCTCTTTTCTGTCTGCAGAATACTTAGCAAACTTAGTACCAATCACTCTACCATTAGCACAAGTCAAAGTCATTTCTGTGAATATGTGACGTGGGGTAGGCCAGAATATAACGGCGCGAAAGGGTTGTCAAGATCGACTCTATCCTGGCTTCATATGCCTCCTGAAGGAGAGTAGAGTTTTCGTGTTTCTTTCAGTCTGTTATGTATAGATATCTTGACTCAGCTCTCATCTTACCCTTTTTCTACTTGAAAATGTTTCAAAATTCCTTTTCGCTTCCTGCATCATGCAAAACAGTTGAACTTTCACAATGATGTAATGGATCAAAGCCTTGACAACTATGCTTCAGTACTGGTCACTTTAAGCCAGGTATCTTAAGACAAAATTTTCTCGTTGGGGCCGAAAACAAGCTTGAGGTTGTGTTTAAACTCCAGAGTCCTTGTGTTGTTCTGAACCTAAGGATCTGGAAAGGTATCTCTAATATAATCTTGTATCTGCTGTTTCTCTAATATTTGGTACTTCATTCAAGTGAAAACCGGGTTTTCTCCAGATTGATTTTTTGCAAATGCTTATACCAAACATTGAGAACGCTCAGTTTTGTCGAAAAGCAAAGTTTACTGTTGTTATCACTTATCTCTCTTGCTTATTGAAGCGAATAAACAGCTCTGAAATGAGTTTGCTGGAAGCTAATTTGAATACCTTATGCAATCTGCACCTTCTATCAAGTGGTGGCGAACATGCCTGTATAAAATTGTGACTTTAGAAGTGGAGTCGCCCAATATTTCCTTTCAGTTAAGAAAATTAAGAAGGCAGAGTTCGATTATAATAGGTTCTAACAAAAGACTTCCTAAAGTCACAGTATTCGCGGCTTTAGGTGTCATTTTACATAATTGCCGATTTTTAGGCCAAACCCAATGAATTGAGATGTTATTGGCTGTCGCAACCCTCCCGATACGGGATGTTAGAGGAATGACGGGTTTAGAGGTAATGCCGAGTTGGGGACCAATGGTCCCTAGTCGGCAAATACTCCCAAATCCTTACCTCGTGCTACATTGGAATTTGTAATTTTACTTCAATTAACACTATGAAAATTCTAAATGAGGAGTTGCCACTAACCTATTGAGGTCGGTTAAAAACCAAGTTAGGTATGAAAGTATATCTCACTTCTTACATAATAAGAGATATGGGCACCTGTACTTGATTACACTAATCGTCTAACCAATACCCTCTCCGTACTTTAGCTTGATTGGTTTGTTATATAAGTGATTCACATTTCACACTGTCCCTATCCATTTTATTATCCTATGCCACTAAATGATGTCCAGGCATGAGTGTGCAATTAAGTAAAAGTAGTCAATCACAAGCAATGCGATAAAATCAAATTGGAAGAAAGTAAATTCAATAAAACCCAAGTATAGAATATATATAGTCTTGTTGTTAAGCCCCAAGACAGCAACCCAATGAGCTAAGTTCGAATTATGTCCAATTTCTCGTCCAAAAGATGAAACCATTGAGGCTAAACTATATCAAAGGTACTCACTAAAATCTCTAAATTAGATGTATACTATATAAAAAAAACTAAGCTACATTTATCACTAAAATAAAACAACCTAATCAAGACCTGCTTCTAAGCTATTTTATAATTTCTTAAACTTTTTTATTTTGGAATTTTTTAAAATTTTTTAAATTTTTTGAATTTTTTGAATTATTCCGAAAATAGGGACTCGGGCTAACAAACCTATTAAAATTTAAACTCAGCTCAAACTGAATTAAGCCGAACTCTTTAACCTAAACCAAGCCCAACTTACCAAAATTTCAACTTAAACCGAACAACACTCACAAATTCATCGTTCCCAGGCTACTCAATACTCATTCCCATACTCATCAACATTCCCAGAACAAACCAAACTAAGTTACTCAACTAAACACAGGCAAGATCAACACCACCACCTGCACCAGCTTCACCGAATGCCACCACCAACTACCACCATAAATTACCGATACAATGCGGGAAATGGGAATACTAAGTGAAACTGCAACGAGGGAACAAACTCGAACGTCCTCGGAGAATCCAAAAACACGGCATTGACTCCCGCCCGTTTTCTCGAAGATAATCACCAAAGAGCCACCATCACAGAAAGCACACGGCAGCAACTGAGAAACATATGGAATACGAATGTGCCGATTCGATTTCAGTAACCAAGGATTCTAACGAAAATCGTATATCAATGGAAGGTTCTTTTCAAGAAAAGAACATGCTAATAAGTGTTCAAAGTAGTCTAGGATCGGAATGGACTATACGCTGGCATTTTAACAAACATGTGGTAAGCGATTTCTTTGATGGGGTTCACATGCTCAAAGCAACTCGGTGACTGACTCCCAGATTAAAGCTAGCGTGCAAACATGCTAAGCATCATCGACCTCAGGCATAGGCGATAGAAAGTAAGAAAAAGAGGCTTGGGCTTTCATGCAAGAAAACAATGGGCTCAAACTGACGAATTGAGCGAATTGAACAAGGCCTCCCTCGCGAGGGTGTACACATTGGATTAAAAACCGACTTAAAACCCCTTTTTTTTTCATTTCATTTTTATCTTATATCTTTTATCTTCTTCTTTTCTTTACTTTACTTTTCTTTTCTTTTAATAATGATTTATCGATTAAAATTCAAGTGTGAACATTGGCTCGCAACTGTTTACATTTACATTCTTCTATTTTGTCTGTTAAATGAATAGGGTATGCTCAAAATTTAGCCAGGAGTGAAATTTAGTGAAAATTACATTTGCCCAGGTAGAACACATTCATTTGAGGCATTCTTCAACATGTCAGCTAGGTCTTTAGAACAGTCAATTCCATTCTATAACTAGTTGAGCAATCCACGGTTTGTGTTCATCTTCTGATCAAGGACAGACCGTTGTCCTTAAAGAAACGTTCATTTTAAGTCCGCTCTTTCTACCAGTCAGTATTGTTAATACACCGGCTTATTTCCATTAACATTGGGTTTTAGAATCATGTGATCAAAGACAGACCGTAACTCCCAGAGTCAGGGAAGGTCTATACTCTATACCTTCCTCCATTGTTCGACTATGAATATTCCACTGAAAGACATTGAGCATGATCAGATTTAACATTTCATTGGTCGAGCTTAATCATTTTCAACAGCAACGAGGATAGCTTATATTAAAAACACCCTGCACATTCGGCGTGGCGTGCAGTAGTGTTGAGTTGGAGATTTGCACTTCCAGTTTTCTGGATTCGGTTACCAAACTTTTGCAGAAACGAGCAATAAAGCAGCCATAACATGGAGTGAGCTACAAGACAATCGCTCATATAAGCGGGTTAAAAAGTGGGTTAAAAAGTGATTGCACAAAAGTACCTAACAATTCATTTCCTAAGACATCTTACAAAGTCCAGCAAAGTTCGAAACCAAGTCCAAATATCACAACCAGAGGTAGCCACAACAGTTAGAGACAACACCTGAAAAGTCATCGACACAGTCAAAATGATTGCTGCACCATGGACAGTATTAATCCAAAGACGAGATTCGTGAAGACGCGGTGCTCCGAAGCAGCTTCAGCTGGTCTTCACAAAATGACGGGACAGCAGCTTACCAATCTCCAGGAACCCAACTTTCTCTCTCCCCTCGAATAGGGTCTTCAGCCTCTCATCACAATTAATCTCTCGCTTGTTAATGCTATCCTGCACAAAAGCCATCCATGTCTCTTAGAATAACATGTAAGAAAAGAAAAACACCATAGTGTTTAAAATATCTAAAGCGGTGTGTTCAATGCTTTGTCCAAGTCCCACTTCAATAAGAAGATAAAGCAATTGATATGGCAACAGCTGCAGGGGAAGCCTCAAAGAATCAACCTTCTCTTAAAAAAAAAAATAGCATGAGGGACACAAAGGAAGAGTGTGGCGCTACATCAGTCAAAATAAGCAATGATCACAACAAAGCCAAATTCTCCAACATCCGTCCTCAACAAGACCTTTACATCTCATGTTTGTTTCACCCAAAAGAAATGCAAGAAGAAATTGCAACTCTCCTAAATACGACCCTTAATTGTCCTATATAATCCTATCCAACAAATTGAGTTGCGAGAGGAAGATGGATAGAGAATTAGGACTGAAGCTCTAGAAGCAATCTATTGTCAGAGAGATATGAAATACTGAAGCCACAAGCTTTCAGGCTTTGGCCAATGCAGAATCAAATGCTGGCTGACAGAACATAAATAGCTATGTGAACAGCACTGTATATGTCTAATTTTTCTTAATAGCACCCTCTAAAAGCATAGAGCTCATCTCTGTAAGTACTTTGATTGACAGGATAGAAGCCATAACGTTCGCAAAGTAACAGATCAGACTATATCGACTGCGTATCAATCTGTATCTTTGGCTATCGGTTACCCCACTATCTTCTTAAGATGATCCCATAACCACCATATCATAGTGCTCACCAATTAGTTCGACGGTGTCCTCAATCTAGATTTTGTTTCTTCCTGAGGTAAAGAAGTGATGATGTAATCTATGATGTTAGAAAAAAATTCACGGCACGTGGAAGCCATATAAATTTGCTTTTCAACCATAAAACAACAAAGAAATCTTATAATCACTATTGGGAGCTAAGAACAAAACTAAACTTTACAGCTGAACATCAGAGAAAAACAAAGAACATGCTTTCTGTATGCCACATTTCTAATGCGCAATATATTTTACATGTAGCATTAAATACTAACATGCAAATTTGCATAGACAGACGCTTGCATAATCCACTCATAGCAGATCTGCAATGGGCTGCCATTACAGGAATTAGCCCAAGACATTGGAGTCTATTGAGCCAAGTGAACGCCTCAGTTTACGCAAGACAACACACCACAAGCAACAAACAAAGTAATTACAGCACTACAAGTACTTAAAACCAGCTCTGAAGCTCAAACTTCTGCTAATAAGTACAAAAGACTTGGATCACACTATTACGCAGAGCCAAAAGCTTCAGCATTCACTACGCGAAACGCACTCCGAGAAAACTCAACATAGTCTCGGGCGAATGCTTCGACAACTTACTTTGGGTTCTCTTATTCCCACAATCAAACCGCACCAAAGAATGCATCCTTACAAGTCAAGTATATTTTCCAAATCCCAATGCTCAGTAAACGAACATCTTTGCTTTCTTGCTTCAGAGTATCCCCACTCCATTTTCACTATGCCACATTGTTTTCGCCCTACTTCTCAAAGCAGAGTACCAAAAACCACATTCAACCCAACATTCCCCATCCACACACCACTGAAGAACCCTAACATAACCGAAACGAAAAGACAGCGAACCCCATTTCTCCGGGGGTGGTGGGGTGTGGTGGTGGGGGTGGTGTCGCGTCGTTTGAGCCCATACCTGGAGGCCTTCCCTCTTGATGTAGGCCCAAATCTGCTTGACGGCCTGGACGCGGGAGGCCTCGCCGGCGTTGAGGAACCGGGCGAGCGCCGGCGAGACGGGGGTCACCTTCTGTATCCCCGACGGCCGGCTCGGCGCCTTCGGCGAGGCCTCCCCCCCGCCGCCGCCGCTCGCCGCCTTCTTCGGCTTCGGCTTCGCCGCGGCCTTGGAGGCCTTCGCGGCGGCGGCAGCAGCATCAGCACCACCGGCAGCAGCGGCGGCGGCGGGCTTGGCGGGGGCCAGGAGGGCCCTGCAGCCCCTGAAAACCCTAGAAGCGGTGGACGACGAGAACGACATGGCTAAGGGCTCAGTGGGGTTCTCTTCTCGGCTTCAAACGAAGGAGAGGGAGATGGGTCGCCTTCGTAGCCGTCGCCGCGACTGCAAGGACTGTAGAGAGAGAGAGAAGAGAGAGAGAGAGAGAGGAGCGAAGGAGACGGAGGAGGAGGAGGAGGTTTTTTTGGTGGTTTTTTGGACACGCAGCGAGGGAGGGAGGCGATCGCACGTGATTCCCACGCTTTGGGGGGGGGAATGCTTAGGCCTGACTTCTCAAATTTTCTTTCTTAGAGAAATTAACATAGTCGCCCCTAAACTTTGGCCTAATGTGCAATATCATCATTAGATTTTTAATTTGCCCGATGCGACCCTTGAAATTTTCCCGAGTGTTCAATCCAGTCCCTAAATTTTTAATTTGCTCGATTTAGCCCCTCGGCAATTTTAAATGTCCGGTGACATCCTTCGGTACTGTTCGCAAATTTTGATAATTACACTATTGCCGGGGTTTTAAAATATGTTTTTGCATTTCGATAGGTTATCTAATTTAACAAAAAGGTATGCGATATCTTTATTATCTCTGTTTTTTTTTTTTTGCAATTGGGGTATTTATAAATGTTACAATAGTTAGATCTCTGTAATGGTAAAAGTATAACCTCATCTAGAGTGGAACCTTCTTGATATTTCTTGCTATTTCAATTTCCAAATTTATATTATTAGTTAAATTTAATTATGAAAACAACAAACATAAGAACTTGAAAATGTTATCTATCTGAAAATTTAGGAACAAGATTACAATCAATATAAGTACGATTATCTACGGATAAATTAATATCATGTATAAATATCCTTATGTAAACACTTATTCTTAAAAATGATATTACTTTTAAGGATATATTAGGTTGATATTCCTGCTATTATGAAATCTCATTTTTAAAACTTCATTTTTAGAGATTTATTGGATTAATATTTCTGCTTTTAAGTATAGGTGTTTTCATAAGGATATCCAAAGATGATATTGAATTATAGATAGATAGATAATCATTTTTATATTATATTCTTAATTAAATTTAGTTAAATCTCTAAACTAGTAAATTAAAATAGTAGGAATATCAACCCCATATCACTCTAAATGAGTTTCTACTTTTATTATTATAGAGATTATAAGCCACAACATACTTGAGTATGAAACTATCGTAACATTTATAAAGACCGTAAAGGTCAAAAAAGGTAATAATTATATCGCTTACTTTTTTGTTAGTTTAGAAAACGGATCGAAATCGAAAATACATTTTTAAAATATGGGCAATAGTATAATTATTAAAATTTGTGAATACTGAATGATGACTTCGACCAAAAAAACAAAGAATGATAATGATGACATTGAACATTTAGGAGTGAGTAGTTGAGAGACTAGATTGAGCAAATCGAAAGCTAAGGGACTAGATAGAATGTTTAGGAATAGTTCAAGGACCATATTAACCAAATTAAAAGTTCAGGGTGATGACATTATATATTTAGCCGAAGTTTAAGCACTATAAGCAGCATTTTCTCTTCTTCTTTTTTATATTAATGGGATTCAAGGCTCTTCAAACACCCGACTAAATATTCATTGGGTGTGACATTATCCCGTCTCACACACACTGATAGGTCTGTACTCCTAGGATGGCCCAAGGAAAATGCTCAAACATGGTAATCCAAATTAAAGTCTTGAGCGATATATATTGTCTACTGGCTTTTGACTTCTAGTCGCATTGCCATAACGTATCTTACACACAAAATCAATATCAATCCTTGCAACACATAAAGGGGTGTATTACAATGCCACACTTCAATATATCCATCACCATATATGTTCTCTAAATTACACGATTTGTATCATCAATAGCAATAACATGCATTTCAACGCAATTTCATCGTAGTCGGAATCGTAACGATTTAAAATTTCAAGTGGTCCTTGCGACGGCCTAATAACATCCATCATTTCTAGTACAATTTCGGCAGCAAAAGCAACGTACTCTATGACTCGAGATTTCATTTCGTCGTAACGGCATCCTAAAATCATGGGCCTTTCCAACTATTCAAACAGACAACGTAACGACGTACTTCTGAATACATGATTCTAAATGGGCACTGCAACATCCCTACGTGTTTTTGGAATTTGAAGTTTAAAGCGAGGGGCGTTTGGAACTAACTGTAGAGCGCTAGAACCTCTGTACCTACTGAGGTAAAGGAAAACATGGGAAGAGTATAAAATGTGATCAAACCGAGAGAATTTCAAAGAAAATAAGAGCAAGGCAGAGACTCACCCTCGTTGAAATGAAGAAAATAGGGGGAATCTCTACAGGACAAAGCGACCGCCTCTCGTTGAAGCGCGCAGGTCTCGGGTCGAAGTGTGCCACTTCTTAGGCCTGTAACTTCTCAGTTTGATACGAGATTCGCGTGATTTTTACGGCAGTGATTTTTACGGCATTGAAACAGTTGTGTCGAGAGCTTTTCCAGTGAATCCGATATTACCGGGCGAAATCACGAAATGACGGACCAATATTTCGACCTATATCAGAGCCCGGGACTTGGGTTTATGGACCGCATGTTTCGGCTCTCGACACTTTCAAAAACCATCATTTCCTGAGGATCGAGTGGTCTAGGATGTTCGGGGTTCGGGTTTACCCCTCGATGGCTGAAAGTTGGTCTTTTGAATGTTTCGATTGTGACTCGGGATGCTTGAGAGTCGGATTCTTACCGTGTGATTTACACTCTCACTTTTATGCTTTCGTGTTTCTAATTAATTCAAATTAATTTCCGCGGTCAAAATATGCTATATAATTCGATAAATATTACAATTTTGTGTCTCGTGATTTTTTTTTTTGAATAATAAACCTATATGATGTGGTTCGCATACACTTTGCAAAAAAAAAAATTCACGTAAATTCTAGCCAAGAATTTTATTGATGTGAACATTACGTTGTTACAATTTTCTCTATATTTTTTTCTTACAAAAATTCACATCGACACCGAAATTTAGAGTGCGGTTTTCAAAGGAGAAAAATGGTTTCTTCTATTTTTTTTTATTACTTATCATACTTGCGAAACACAACATTTAAATAGGGACAACTAGAAAGTAGAAAGAAATAAGAACATATTTCACACTTCTTAATTCTAAGTGATTTACTTCGTAATCCTAAGGATTCGGAAATAAAAGGAAATAAAATAAATGGAAACAAAATAATTTCCTATCTCGAGATTTTCTTCGAGATCTCCGCGTGAAATACCCTCATGATTGGTTTCATGGCAGCACAAGTCCGACTCTTCATGCCGCGAGGTGCACACAATTTGGACCATTTACCTAGGCTTTTTAGCTCAACGTATTATCCCGGCCACGAGATTAGTGAGGTATTTCATCGACCCGAGATTTACCCGCCTAAGATGGTGGGTTTCCTTGTCTTAACAAAGCATAAATAAATAAATAAATAAAAATAAGCAAATCATCCACACTAATGTCCTGTGTGGCTGTGAATGGGCTTTTCCTTTCACCAAATCAAAATTCTAGTTTCCCTTCCATTAGTTGCCATTTGACAACAAGAGATCTGAGGGACTAAGAAAATCCTAATGCATGCATGCAACATGAAAAGGCAATGTCTCAGTGGTGCAACTTCCCAAGAAAGCAGCCAATGGTATGGCTTTAACAGACTAGGCGCAATGGAACGGAAACAATCTACCTGTCATGTAAATGACTAGTGTTTCAGCGTCTCTTCTTTGCCTCGCAGGAATGCAGGAAGCCACTTCGCGGACAGCTTAGGTACGCGCTTGAGATTGTTGTCGTGGTCGACATAGTAGAGCCCGAATCTAGCCGTGTAGCCATCTCCAAACTCGAAGCTGTCGAGCAGAGACCAGTAAAAGTATCCCCTCACGTCGATTCCTTGCCTGCACGGAACAAATACTCGAGCCATTTTAGCACGGTCGAGTCAGGCTTGTGCCTCCGCGCGTTTAGATAGCACGAGCAGATCGAATAAAGCACGATTTTAGGCACTCCTGGAGCACAATTAAAGTGGCTAAGACTAACATTCTACAGACATTATATTGTGAAGATTCATTTTTAAATTTTGTTTTGCTGTTGCCTTTTGGTGCAAGAAATTCCTTTTTCTTTGTCAAACTAGCGGAAAAGCACAAAAGAGTCGAGTCTAATCAATATAGCAGGATGCCATTATGAAATCAAATCGATTGCCTTTTCTGTTGCAATAACGTACTTCATTGCTTGGTTGATTTGATAAAGATGCTGAAGGACGAACTCTATGCGGTGCTGATCATTTAGCGCTTCCTGTGTCGGCCTGCCCTCGACCCTCGCCTGGGTGACTCCTGGAGTTCGAGATACATTTTAGAACTAAAGCATTCTCTAGAAGCAAGAAGGAAACAAGGCAAGGCATCAAACCGTTCTCGGTGATGTAGATTTTGTGACTCCCGTATCTTTGCTTCACGTACTTCAAAACTCTCTGTAGCCCAATCGGGTATATATAAATGAAACTGCTTCCTTCAGCCTGCAATTACAGTAAACGTATGCGCAAAGTGTTGTTTTGTGGCCTCTGAGAAAAGTAAAAATCTCAACTAGAGTTAAACTTTCCCAGAAAAAAGCATTTATTATCTTCTATCTTGATACTTCTTCCCTCTGGCTCACCTTTGGGCCTATAGGAACTCCATCTCTGTCAACTGCAGACAGCCAAAACTGAAGTGAGTATAGAGAAGAAACAAGAGCATCATCGATAAATCTAGACTCCTTTCATTGATCTATCAAGTTTACCTCGAAGGTCTGCATGCATGTCTAGACTGTAACTTTTTGGCGGTGCGTGTGGATATACGTTTAGGCTCTTTGCATATCTGGTCGTGTAGTAATTCAAGCCTAAGAAGTCAAATGACCCCTTAACCAAGTTCTTTTCTTCTCCAGTGAAATTCGGTAGTCTTTCCTTCAATACGCGTCGCATTGTGTGTGGATAGGATCCATACACCATTGGATCCATAAACCTGTCATGTGACCAGGAAACAGAATCTGCGGGAATGATTACACTGTCCCATGTTCATCGACCAATCAAAGTATCTTTATATCTATGTTGTGGTTAAATTTT